TTAGTTATTTATCTTATCTCTCCCACCTGACTTGAAACACGTGTTGAGCACGTAAGAAGATATAATATATTTGAAATCCAAGTAAAATGATAACAGTACTAAATAATTGTAACACAATATAAATAAAAGAAATACTTTACATTTTCATGTATTGATTGTTGTTTAAAGTATCTGGATATTGTACATAAATTATCTGCCAAAAAGCTGGAAGAGTACTTTACACGGGGGGGGGAGGGGTACTTTAAAGAATGCCTTATAATACATTTAAATTTGGGTAATTATTATAGTATAATTTTTGACAATGATAGTTCTATATATGTTATTTGCTGTTTTGGGGTTGGTTAAATCTAGAATGATAATAATAATGACAATGACAATAATAATGATAATGGTATCAATATTAATTTTTTCTTATGTGAATTATTTCTATTATCATTATGAGTTTTTCACTTCGAGTATGTCGATATACATAAACTTGTTTGATGGTGGTGCTATGTGATAAAAACCAACAACATATATGTCACACCAAAAGTTATTGTCGGGATAAAATGGCAAATTCCGGTTTTTTTTTTTGATTTATTTATCATTAAATAGTATTCACGTGCAATAAAAAATACAATAGAAAATTATACATACAAAGAAAAGTATTAAAGATTATATAATGTTGAATAATTCAATATAGGATAAGACTATGTTGTAGCATTTGAAAAAAATATTATTTGATGATGATCGTTGGTATGGGTGGCTGTTGTGGTGAACAATACTATTTGGTTAAAGTTCTGAATATTGAAATTGGAGCTTGAAGACTCCTCCTAGCATTAGACGAGAACGAATTGGAGGTGGGTGATGAGGGTTGACTACTGTTATCTCTTGTTTTGTCTTTCACTACAAATACCGGAATGGAAGCATGACGAACGACATGTTCCGATACACTTCCGAGCAGATTGCTATTTCATAGTAAAGAGAAAAGCGTGAGTAAATTATTGCATGATTCGTGTGAAAATAAAATAATATTTACCGTTTCAATAATCCGAGACCACGCGTACCAACCACAAACAAATCTGCATGTGAATTATCGGCGAGTTTTAAAAGTTGATATTTCGGATCTCCTTTTAAAGTATAGACATTAGAAGTAATCTATTTTTTTCAAAAAAATAAAGATAAATATCGATAGTATTTAGTTTCGCGGAGAAATATATACGTACGCCTTTACTTGATAACTCTTCAGCCAATGGCCTCAAAATATCCGAAGCTTCCTGATTTTCTGTGAATGATAGACGTCGATTTCTCTTTCTATTTTCTATTATAGTCGAAGACGATACAATCTTATCAATAAAGAAAAATAATAGCGAATTTTCAATTTCAAGGAAAAATGCGGGAAACTACATGTATGCTATCAATAAGTGATATCAAGAATTCAAAGATATCACATAAACATAACGATAAACATAAACAAAGAGCTTCCGTAAATGTTTATAATCTCCCCTGCATGCATATGACTACATGTAAACAGCAAATTCGCTTTTTCCCTGATTTTCTCACAAAGAAAATTCTATGAATAATAATTACCAGCACTTTGAGCTCTAGATTTGTGTGCCATTAAGAATATGGATTGCTCTTCATCCAGTACGGTTACCAATGATACATGGTCACGATTTGGAATGAAAAGGTTGTCCAGACAATATTGATACACAAACTAAAGAAGAAAATATTTTTAGATTCAAAAAATCAAGAGAACATTATTCATTATTATTACTAACCTTACTATACTCCGAGTTATCATAAGCCAAAAGAATCTTGCGTCGAAGATGAAGTTCAAGTGGTTTCTCTGGAATAGTTACAACCATTGTGTTTAATTTTATGTATCTTGAATTCTCGAAAAAAATAATTACAGTTATTCTGAAGTAAAATTATTTAATTGTCTTAAAAAGAAAAGTTGAAAATGTATTATTATCGTTAGAATATTGAACGAGAAGATTCGTTATTTATACTTTATTCCAAATGCGCAGCACACACATTATAAATTACCGTGTATTATTGAAAGATATAACGATACAATAGTAATAATTTATAATTATGGGGATTGAAGTGGAACAGAATAACATCTGCGATTGCAAATCTCATCGGCGTAACTCGTTCGGTTTTTTAATGATACTTTCCAAATGCAGTGTGACATGATCAAACATGAGTCTACTCCATCGTATCATTTTACATGTACTAACAGCTATGACGAAAGACCAAGTGTAACCCTAGTCAACCAATATTAATTGAATATAACATGATAGATGGCATCATCTTGCATTAATATTATTTTTTAGTGCTTAGATCATAAGAATAATAAGCGAGACCTAGATTATACAAAGAATATAGATGTTGATTTTTAATCATGGTAAATATTACCTCTATTTATTTTCTTACCCAAACAAACAACCATTGTACTTTCAATTGAGTATTTAAAATTATTGAGGCGCAGTAAGAAATGTATTTTCTAGCAAAACAATGATTCTAATGATCAGGCGAGATCTGAGCTGTGAATTCATTTTCATTGGCTAAAATTGATAATCCATTACTTGTCTATATTTATATACCATTTTACTAATCATCTGATTTTCAGTTATAAAAATTTTTCTATCAAAATATAGGCTAACTATCTTTGACCTTTCCGAAATTAGGTCGATCCAAATGAAGTTGGACAGACGTCTGATACTTGCATAATATAATTGTATTAATAATATAAATTATGAATAAATAATGAATTTAAATTTAAATTTCAGTTCACCCGAGCAATCCTTCATATTTGCAGATTCTCATTTCCGAAATTTCTCAAAAAATCAAGGACAATGCATTATGAATATAATCAATAATTACTAGCCGGGATTCATCGAAAATTATCCAATTTACGGGTAGTAAATTTAAAGAATTTTATATTGGTTAGTGGGTATTTTCATATGGGAGAGAATTTTTTATAGTCTATAACCTAGACCCAAGACCAGAAAAATTTTTCGAATATTACATCATCGCAACGAACGTTAGTATCCTAGCCATGGCGAAAAAGTGTCGATCACGTGATTCCGATTCCAATGCCGACCATCCGATATCCCCCTTAAAATCATGCACCTATCAAATCTCAAGATCAATGTGTAGTGCAAAAATTGAAATAGCTTGTATCTTTAAAATTTTACTTGTGAAATAATCCTTTATGTTCTAACAAAAATTGTTCCTTGCTATATAATAACCTTAACCCTAAACCTAACCCTAACCGAAACTCCTTAATGTTAATATTATGCATTATAATTAAGGGGGATATCGGGTGATCGGCATTGGGATCGGAATTACGTAATCGACACTTTTTATTCGCCGTGGGTACTAAACGAACGCTACCTGGCTAAATGCAGCAAGTCGAGCAAATCTAGCAAATTTCATCACGTTGAGAAATTGACAGAATATCTTCAGGACACTTAGCAGACCGAATAATTATGCGCTATACTAATCGATTGTCCAATTCCATTTTGGAATTGGAATGAGATTGTGTTGGCGGATTCAATGCAACGGTTGGTAATTTGAAATTAGCAAAATCTTTTAGAAGCGAGTTAAAGAAAAACGTGAAGAGATTATAGACATTTTTGGATAAATGAAGATTAAGTTTTGGAATACGTACTTCTGTATTTTTTCCATTTGATATCTTGTTATTTTTTTTTAAAACGAAGTACTAATTAAAAACTATCTCAATAAAACCAATTTACTAAATAAACCTCGATAAATTAAAAATTTCCTACTACTTCGAGTTGACTGTGTGCTAATTTGTTTTAATCTAAAGAATCGATAGAAAAGTAGATATTATATTTATATTAGCTTACAAAAATAATACATCACTTTCAAAATTTATTATTAAAGTATAGTAAAATTAAAAATTTTATTTTCATTAAAATATTTTAAATTTATTAAAAAATTGTCCTAAAGTATAAAATTTTTATTATATTTTAATTAATAAAAAATTTTGTATTTACATTGTAATTAGAATATTTCTTTGAATTAAATACAAAAATATATATTAATAAATGTATTCAAAGTTTTTTATTATTAAATATTTTTTCAAAAATTATAATTTCTTGACAACTTATTTTTGTTCTTGGTATTTATTAGAAATTTTATAATTAAAATACTTTTTATGTTATACTTAGTATTTCTATAAACTAAACTTGAATTGGACTTTGGCTTTAGTTCAAGAAAAATTCAAAGCTTGAACTGAACTCAAATTAAATCATTATGTGAGTTTGAGTCTGGTTTGAGTTTAATTAGAAATCAGCATATAGTATCATATATTGATTTATAATCTTAAGTAAGAGCTACAACTTTAGTGTCAATTATATTATTTAGTAAGAATTAAAAATTTACTTAGTGACAACTAAATTATTTTTATTTTTATAATTATTTAAATTTTATTATAAATTCTATACATTTCATTGAATAATTATTATTAATAGTAACTAACTTATATCAAGTTGTAGCTCTTATTTCTTGTTATAACTTTATATATAATTATAAATTATTATTACTATAACAAAATAAATATTTATTATAAAGAATTAAATCAAAAATAATTTTTAAATCTAAATATCTTTTTTAATATCTATTTTTAATATTAATTATCTTATACTAATTTGTAGTTCTATTTTTAATTTATAATTTTACTTAAAAGCTCATTAAATATTTACTTAAACTTAAACTAAACTTTTAATCAAATTCAAGTTTAATTCAAAATTTGAACTGAACTTGAACTAGATTTTTAATTAGGTTTGAATTTTCAAATCAAACTTGAACTGAATTAAATTTTTTTTAGAATTCTAGTTATATAATATTATAATTTAAATATTCTATAATATAGTTATTTTATTAATAATTAATCACTTTTATTATATTTAATATTTAAATAATTAAATTTTTATTTAATTATTTAATTTGTTATATTCTTATTGAATGAATTTGAAATTATATAATTTTTATATATAATATATGATTTGAATATATAATTCTTATATATAACTTATATATAATTTTATATGTGATTTATTAATTATTATTATTATAATTTAAGTAAATTTGCATAATTTCATAATTTTATAATTTTATTAAAAATATCAAAAATATTAAAAATCAAAAATATCAAAAATATCAAAAATATTTAATATATTTAATATATTTAATATTATTTATTATAAATACAATTGAACTTGTAGATATAAAAAAAGCAAGTTATAATTAATTAAATTCAACATAATAAAGTTATAACAATTAAATTCAACACATAACTTAAATAAAATATCTTTAATTAAATATCTATTACTTAATTATTTTTATTATTAATATACAAAAATTAATTAAATAATAATAATAATATTTATTATATACTATATTGGATACTCAACTAGATTGCTAAAGAATATTAGTATTATATTACTTTAGAACTGTTTTTATACTAAATAAATAATAGAAATCTGTTAGTAATAATAATAATAATTTATTTTGATAATTCATCATAAACAACAAAAACTTCAAAAACAATTAGCTAAATTACAAAATTCAGAAAATCAAATTGTAATTAAAAATTATTCACATTTATCAACTCCAGAAGAAAATTTTGAAAAAGATCCAGAAGATCAAGTAATTTAAGTAATAAAAGAAGATAGTGAAGAAGAACCTGAATTAATCATAAACAGTTTACAATTTAATCAGATAATAATCAGATTGATCAATCTGACAAATATTATTCAAGTACAAATCAATGTTGCTTTATCAGTAAGAGAAGTATTCTTCACAAAAATTATTAGATATCCAAGATTCTATTAGATGATTATAAGATTTTAAAAGTGCATGTCAAGCTAATAACATTTTTAATATTAGAAAAAAACAAATTATTGATGCATATTTAAAAGGTTCTGCTGGAATATAGTTAGCTAATAAAAGAATCACTATTGCTAATTGATCAATTCAATGGAATTCAAATAATATCAATAATCATGTTGATTTAATTACTTTCTTTACATATTGTTGTATAATAGAATTTCACATTAATTATTAGTCAAAATTATTATTTAATCTTATTGGATAATTTTGAGAACACATGTTTATATTTTAATTAGTTAAGATCTTCTTATTTACATCTTGTATTATATTATTTATATTATTCTTTATATCATTGTTTATATTATTATTTGTATTATATTTATATTATTATTTATATTATTATTTACAAATAATATGTAGATTATTTATTTATATTATATTAGATAATCTATATTTATATTAGATCACAAGACAAGTGAATAAGTGAGCAACTAAGCGAGCGAATAAGCGATTTTCTTGTGAATATTATTGGTAATTTTAATTTAACAATTTTATATAAAAGAAGTATATATTTTAGCTTAGAAAAGTCAGTCATTTAGTCAATTCAAATATTAATGACTCAAAAATAAACTCCTTTGATAATAATGCTCTTTTGAAAATAATACATTTATTATGTTAAAATATTTCTTCTATTATTTTATTATTTAAGTTTTAAAGTTTTGTTATAATTTTTCACATGTTTGTGATATTATATTTATAATCTCTTACATATTGTAATGTTATATTAATGATCTTTTACATGTTTGTAATGTCATATTTATAGTTTGGACCTTTCACACATTGTAATGTTATATTGTTAAAATGATTTAATAAATTGAATCTATAATATTTTACTTGTTTATAAACTATCATTGTAATTAACTTATTAAATACAAATTTAAATTATAAGAAGATTTCTTAAGTCACTTTTTAGCTGACTAGTAATTTAACGAATACACGTCAT